AGGTAGTGCCAAGACTAGCTCCTCTGTTACAGCTGCCTTAAGGCCTTCAAACGCCTTTTGACAGTGCTCCATCAAAACCCATGGCTTGTTCTTCTTTAGCAACTCAGTCAATGGTGCGGCTTTTGCTGAGTAGCCACTGATGAACCGATGATAGTAGTTAACAAGGCCAAGGAAAGATCTCAACTCAGTTACCTTTATAGGTGCCTCCCACTCCTAGATAACACGTACCTTAGCCTCGTCCATGCGTAGCTCGCCATTGCTAATAACATGTCCTAAGAAGTGCACCTTTAATTGTGCAAACTCGCATTTCTCCCTCTTGATGTATAGATTTGTAAAACCTTCCTTAAGTGCTCCATATGCTCCTCCAATGTGTTGATGTAGATGACTATGTCGTCTAGGTAGAATACCACGAATTGATCAAGGTAGGGATGGAAAATCTTGTTCATAAGGGTGCAAAATGTGGCTGATGCATTGGTTAAGCCGAAGGGCATCACCAACCACTCAAAAGCTCCATATCTCGTCACACATGTTGTCTTCGGCTCATCACTTCTGCAATGTGAACCTAGTAGTAGTCCTTGCTAAGATCCACCTTGGTAAAGTACTTGGCTTGCCCAAGTTTATCGAACAAGTCAGCAATGAGCGGTATTGGGTACTTATTCTTCACTATGACCTTATTAAGTGCTCGGTAGGCTATGCACAAGCACAACGATTCATCCTTCTTCTTCTCGAACAATACTGGTGTGCTGAAAGGTGCCTTTGATGGGCGAATATGACCAGCATCTAGCAGCTCTTTCAATTGTTTCCTGAGCTCCTTTAGCTCGGGCGATGCCTTACGATATGGGGAAAATGCGGGTGGCTTAGCCCTTGGCTCCAACTCAATCTTGTGATCCACCTCTCGCCTAGGTGGCAAGTGCTTAGGCACCTCCTCGAGCATGACATCTTTGTTTTGCTCAAGCAACTTCTCTATGCAAGGCAGCAGAGTCTCTTGAAAATTCTTGTCTTCCTCCAGACTTGCGATGGTTGCCATGAACGTCGGCTCCCCCTTCTTGATCCCCTTGACAACCTGCATAGCTGAAAGTTGTGCTTGGCTCTGTCCGTGTGGCATAGTCACTGTAGGTACCATGCAAGATCCTTCACGCTCCATAACCAAGAGAAGATGGAGGTAAGGGTCGATCAAAGTATGACAATGTCTAAATAACTCTTGCCCCAATATGATGTCAAAGATATCCATAGCGGTTACGCTAAAGTTTGTCATACCTTTCTTTCCCAATTTGACACCAACTCTATTAGGTACCCCACGAGCATTCTGTACCTCGGCATTCAAGGTCTTGACGCGAGAGTTGGTTCGATCAAGCTTCAATTCTAGTCTCTTTGTGACAGCCTTAGTCATAAAATTATGAGTTGCTCCAGTATCCACCATTGCACGAGTAGGCTTGTTGTTGATGGTGAGATCCACGTACTGATTGCAATTCTCGGTAGGTCGGATAGATTGCTTCGTGACAGCACCACATAATCCGATCATTCCCAACTGTGCGATTCCCGAACTCTCTCCTTGCGGATGCTCATTCTATTCACGGACCATGGCGATGAGGCTCTTTAGGTCTGGTCAATTCCTGAAGTTGTGCGGCCCTCTGCATATGTAACAACCCTTCTTCTCGGCCTGCGCCTTCTTCTAGGCGTAGCCCTGACGGCCACTCGACTTTTTGGAATCTTGAGTCTTGTAGTATTGTTGTTGTATTTCCTTGCCTTTGCCACGGTCTCCCCCACCTTTGGCATTGTTAAACTTTGATTCTTTGCCTTTGCCTTTGTCGTGCTTGTCATGCCTGAAATCCATCAATAATTTGACCTCCACTATGGCTTGGTCTATATCTGCGACTTGCCGGAGTTGCAACTCCTGCTTAGCCTAATTTTGCAACCCGTCCATGTAGTGGAACAACAAGTCATCATTGGTCAGGTTGGGGATTTGAAGCATAAGGGTAGTGAACTCCTTGACATAGATACGTATGCTCCTTGTTTGCTTCAACTCCCTAAGCTTGCGCCTCACCTCGTACAAGACATTTTTTGGAAAGAACTGTCACTTGAACTCGACTTTGAACTGATCCCACCTGATAATAGTACATAAACCTTCATCCACGTCTGCCATCTTCCTTCTCCACCATAATATGGAAGTCTCTGAGAGGTACAACACTGCAGTGTTGATCATGGCCTCGTCGTCTCTCACTTTGCCGTGCCTGAAGTAGTTCTCCAAGTGCCAAAGGAAGTTTTCCACTTCTTATGCATCACAAACACCTTTGAACACCAGGGGTTTGGGAGCCTCGATCTTGGCCTCCCTCGTCACCACAATATTGCTGGCTACCTCAGTCATGCCAGCACTAACATGCTCCTTGAGTGACTCTATCTTTGCCTTTATAGCATCGATAGTACTCAAAGCCTCCATGAGTATGCACTCTAAGGCAGTGATGGTTTGCCTTAGTTCCATCTCGGTCTGTGTACGTCCCTCCAAGTCATTTCGGATAATCTCAATCTCGTCAAGAGTGTGCCCCTCAAGAACGCTAAGGGTGCCTTCCACCTTCCCCACGAGTTGGCCAAAGATTTCCACGGCGTCCATCCCCGTGTTCATCTTCATCACCCACTCTTTACCGAGTGAGACGTCCTCGAGCAGGACCTCTACTTCATCCTCGCTCGCCTCAGTGGCAGATGGATCTTGGGATGTAAGCCATAAGTTTGACACAACCTCGGGTGGCACCTCCTGGCCCTTGTTGGTGGCATTCCTCTTTTTGTTACGACCACTCTTGCCAGCAGCATCTTGGATGACGTTGGCTTGGGTGTTGGCAGCGTTAATTTCTCTGTCGTTCGACATTCTCTTAGTTGCAACCTTTGCTATGATACCACATTGTCATGTCCTTAGTTGTTAACTAAGTACATGTGTGGTACTTGACAACTCGCTCACGATCTTGCACAACTTGTTTACGTTTTTGCTATGCCAAGTCAGCCTTACCACACTCAAGATCGCTAAGAGAATGGTAGAAAGAACACAAGAGAATTGTTAAAGGAAGCTTTGTATTGGAGAGAACTTGAATTGTTTGCTTGGTGAATTACAAATGAATGACCCCCTTTATATGCCAGTCTCCTAGGGGCTAGTATGTAAATATTAATTGTTACACAAGTCCTTAATATTTACAAGATAAGGGCTTTCTCTAGAACTCTCTACAAACCTAGAAGATTCCAAGGACTTTCCTAGCAAATCCATAGGGATCTAGGGTCTTCCAAAGAAAATGTCCATACTTCTCTAGAATCTTCTCACAAATGCTAGCCTTCTTCCTATGTAAGCTTCCACATGGCATTAATATATGCCAAATGGTATCTATGTGGCATGGTGACGTGGCGGGTCATCACACTTATCTTGTTTAGTGAGAGGCGAGAGAAATTTTTCTAGAGAGAGAAAATGTAATCAACCCTTAAATCCTAAGAACCAAAATGGTGCCAAATTGAATGGAGGAGATAGATGTTACTAGTAGGAAACAAGATATTGTCTAAAAATATATACACATTTACCTGCAAAATAAAAATTTGACCTTGTACAGGTATTAGGCCTCTTAGCTATTATATATAGGTCATCGCCTTTTTATTCTTATCCTTGGCATGCAAAGATAAGAAAAAGTTTACCCTTACTCCCAACCCCAATAACGAAAGATAGAAAACCCAAAGAAATGTATGTTGAGTATCTGTTCATGGTTTCTGCACAACGTGAATTGGTATATCAACAAAGGATAAATTGAACACTAGTAGATCCTAGATATCCATTAATATAGCTGGACATGCATATAGTTGAATATATCCATTAATATAGTTAAAATTGTATACTAGAAACGTTTAGCGGACAAAATAATACGTTACATTTGTTAATTTAAAATCAAGTATTTGCCTCTATTTACGATAAAATTAAATAATGTGAAGTGCCCAGCGATCTAAGTGAAATTACCTTACCAATAATAATGAGAAGACTAAAGAGTGATGCTTTGTTGAATTTTTGGGTATTAAACCACAAGGTTATATGTTCTTAAAAGGATTAGGGTTCACAGTTTTATAATGAATCAATTTAGTTGATAAGCATAAGATTGGAACAGTTGAAAGATGTACAGACATCTTGAAATTTCATTACGACTTCACATGTACTATATTAAGGAAATTGGCAACTTCAGCCACTAGTACTCTATCATTCAATTCAAGGAAAGTCACCTATAAAAGAATAAGAAGGAAGAAAGACACTTCGTAAAAATCACTTGTCAACATTAATAAGCAACTCTACCACATATATACAAGTCAATGATTAAAGATATAGGAGTAACATATATACTTGAAAAATACCAAACTACTAATTACTGTATAATAGACGATAAAGTGATACAAATTCCAAATGCTAGTAAAATACATACTCAAAGGATGATTAAGTAGTTAAAGCATATGTAAACTGATCTAAAAAACCTCATAAGAAGTTCTTAAAATAAAGGGATATTTGTGCTTTTAATCCCTCACATATCGATAAATTATGGATTTGATTGTTGTGATATATGGTTAACACAATCCTCAATTACTAAAAATGTGCACTTCTGATCATTCTACTAGATAATCTTCACAAAAATAACAAATTGTTATCTGCTAAATTATTCTATTACCAAAGTGTGATACCATATTTGTTCAGTTATACCATATTTGAGAATAATACAATTCAAAAATAAGCTACGTATAGTTAATTCAACTTTATAAAAATACATCCCGGTGCATAAAGTACCACGTATTTATGCAAGATTCGAGAAAGTGTCGCGCCCAAGGGTGTGATTATAGTTGGCGAAATATTACATGGATCAAAATTGAAATTTACCAACAACTAATGGATCAAAATTGCAATTATCCATATGGGTCTACATGGGACCCAAAAAAATAAAATGTTAAATCCATGCTGATCATTGGGCTACTCTCATTTATTTAATAATAATAAAAATAGTAGAGAAGCAGCGTGAAATAGCCATCTGATGATTGATTGAAAACGCAATTCTTCACCGCTCGGACACCGATTCCATTTCTGGAGGGGTTTCTCCAGAGGGAGATTGCTCTGACTTTAACTCTAAGGTATTTCATTCCTCTTTATCTCTTTCTCTCCTTCGATTTGTACCAGGATTCATTAAATTTTGGGCTTGTTCATTGCAGACCCTGTGAATACGTATATCTTCGTGGGCTCGGTGTTTATGAGAGCAGCATTGTTTCTAATCGGATCTATTTCAGCTCGGTTCCTCCAATTCATTGCATGCATGGGGTAATATACTTTTGATCTCCATCATTATTGTGGATTTTTGTCGGTTTTTACGCTGTTTAGTTAATTAGGGCTTCTTTATTTAGGCATTTGAGGATAATTTAGTTTTGAAGAAAGGATTATAGAATTTTTGAACACTAATGGTTGTGATAGATCCTCATGAGCCGAGGGTGGAAAAGAAGAGCCGGTCTTAGACCTTATCTTAGCTGTTTAAATAAAGCAGGGACTAGGTCTTTGTCCCCGGATTCACTGATTCAAGGGTTTTAGATGGGATGGACAGAAGAGTTTGAACGGGCGATCTTTCCCTTGAATTGGGAAATGTTAATATGCCTCAAGATGAAGAGAGTGAAAGTAACCCTGAAATTTCTGATCTTGATCTTACGATTGCAGTCAGGAAAGGGGAAAAAGAGCTCTCCCTGATCGAAAGTTCCTATTTTGCTGCCTCTTCGATCGTCTCCGACTCCCTGAAAAATAAGAGTACTTGGTGACCTAGATGGTCAGAGGTCCAGGATTCGAGTCTTGCCGCCACTTATTAACAGTGGAGGTAGGAAATCCAGTTAACGAAAAGGCTAGGCTGCAACTATTCAAGCATCTCAAAGTCTATCTATAAATATCGGAAACATCCTCTCTACTCCTCCAAAGTAGGGGTAAGGTCTGCGTACACACTACCCTCCCCAGACCCCACTTGTTGGATTCCACTGGGTTGTTGTTGTTGTTGTTGTTGTTGTTGTTGTAATGGTTGTGATAGGTTGAAAGTCAGCTTAAAAATAATGTATATATGTCAATCATCTGAAATGAACCTGTATAAATTGGATATAGAGGATTTATCTAGTTAATCCAACTAATTAATTGAGGCATTGTTTTGGGGGGTTTAGCCACCTGGTATCTGGAACCCACTGGCTTGACCAATCTAAGTGTAGGGCCCAGTGTTAAGTCCTTCCTGCCAAGGTTTCTCCATTCCGAGGTCTCGAACCAGAGACCTCTGGTTAAGGGTGGAGTGAACCCATCCATTTGGTGGTTTGAGGTATACTTGATTGAAAGTGTGTAACTTTGAATAGTGATAAAATCAGTTCACTAGGAAAGTGTTTAATTTGTTCAGATTCGTGAGAACTTATGTGTTTTCTAACTTTTTTGGTTCTTGATGTTTAAATTTCTTTATGAAGTAATTGGGTAGTGGTGACCGAAAGGTGGTAAAGGAGGACGGCGGAACAACTTTATACATTAAATTTGATTCTTCGAGAAAGTACTTTTCCACAACATGTTTTTAGATGCAAAAATTGCAGTTCACTTGTCTTTGCTGATGTAGCCTAGAAGTTTGGAGCAGTTATAAAAACTAGCTACTGCAAAATGTAGGTCTCTAAGTTATTTTCCTCAATAGGTAATCAAACATAAATCATGCTGTTATGTGCTCGAATCCAGTCTGTATGATGACGGAAGAAACTATACAAGTGGTACTCTGCTTTTGTCATCAGATAGTCCAAAATCCCAATCTCACCATCCGTATAAACCTCCATGAATTTGTAGCTTATCAAAGATAAGTAAATAAACTTGATATTTCAAATTGTGTATATAGTAGTATCGCCTCAAAACCTCATTGAGAACACAGGTCGATGTGGTTTTCATCTCAAAAAAAAAAAAACAAACACAGGTCGATATGGTTTTCATGATCTCCAGAAGAGTCAATCTTGATGAGGTGTAAAAGTTGTTTCCTCCTTGCCCTATTGCTTTTTTCATGCTTTCCAATATTTATGTAGCACAGAAATTACTTTTGAATTAACTGACTGTAGACCTCTGTATTATGCACTATTTACTGGTTTGTGTATTCTAAATATTTCTTACAGAAGCAAATGTCATTTGTAACAGAGCAGTGGTTGTTTGGGATCCGATAGTAAAACCAAATTAACTTCCTCAGTTCATGAGCCATTGAATGGGCAGGAATATCTAGATCAGGTAGTCCATAAAGCTAAACTTTCAAAGGATTTTTGGACAACCAGCACGTGTGACATGGAGAGCAACAGTGCCGCTCAGTCACGAGGAAGCATCTCGTCAATTAGTACATCTACCCAGGCACATGATGCTCATGGCGCTGCAAATACGAACGAACATTCCGAATTTGTAAATCATGGTAGGTATTGAATCTTCTCTTGCTCACTTACCTTAATACCATTTCATACCTTTTTTCCGTTACCTTGTTTTTTATACAAACCACTATGCTTTCATTGAAAACTCTTTTACTCAACATGACCAACATAAGAGATCTCAGTTTGTCAAATCTGAACTTTAGATGGATAAAGCAGTATTCATGCCTCAGCCATAGTTTCTTTCTTTCCTTTGTTCCCTGGTCCTTCTCCTTCCCTTTCTAGACGGATGTGGACCTGTTGTCAGCCATGGATCGTATCGACTGATTAGTTCTTCTCAAAATGTTCCCTTTCTTGCTCCTAGTGATTTGGTAGTCTTGAAAACGAATCATAATGCTTAGCGAGCAAATATGGGACGAGAAAGTCACTGTAATTGACAGACCTAGTAGGTATTTGTTCTCAAGCTTCTCTGGAGCCTAAATCACTTTCGATATAAGAGAAATACTTTTAAACTTTTATCAAATATCAATTCTCTAGGATGTGGATGCTCCAGATAATTCCTCCTAATTCCCCTCCGTAATGTTAAAAGTTCTTGAAGATTGCTCTCTGTGTCTGTGTAAAGGTCCTAAGTTTAATTAGCCAATAGGTTTTGATTAAATATATTTTTTGATTTGTGGAATCTTTCCCTTGTTTTTCTGGTCCTTGTCATCATCTTTTGTATATCTATTTCTATGAGTTATCTTATGCAGCTAGTTCTATTCTGTTAGGAGTCCTTCTCTGGAGCCAAACCAGACAGCAATGGGTTGGACATAAAATTCCCGAGAAACCAAAACAGCTGCTTGAACCCAAATTAAGGTAAAGTTATAATTTTACCGTACTATCTGATGTGTTGAGAACCCTGCACTGTCTTACATCAAATGACTGAAAATGACCTAGTACTTCAAGTTTTAGGTTCTTATTAAACAACTGAGGTATGTGTTGTTGTCACTGTGCCTTTTTCGGTTCTTTGATAAAAAACGAAGAACTAAATCATACATGGTGTTAGGCTGCAACTTAGTTGAAAAACTGTGCTGCGCGGCAGCTAGATGTAGAAAATTGGAGTTTAATTTTCCCCATCGATCTATTTGCGGAATTCAATTAAAAACTAATACTTTTGATTTCCACACGGCCGGAGGATCCAATAGTGAATTCTTCTTTTCTTTACTCAATGAAAGCTATGTTTCTTATTAGACTAGACTAGATGCAATTCTTTTGGCATGGGTGATTCTCTAATTAATTGAGTTTCTGAATTGTGATAATAAAATGTAGCATTCTATACCTCTGGTATGGCAAGTGTACGACATTTCACAATATCTTCTCTCTTAAACTCACAAACACTAGATCCAAGCAAAAGAAGGCCCAACATGTTCTGATAGTATTGATGTTAGCTGTAAAGTTTTACACTAAGGAGCATATTCAACAGTCTATTAGTTGGAGCGAGCATATTCAACAGTCTATTAGTTGGGGCAAACACCTCTTTGGTTTAATAACCTTGTTTAATTGAGTCATGTCATAGCAAGTTTTAAAAATCAAACTGCTTAAAGCTCCTTAGAGATAATTTATATCCCATGTGAATATAGCACACATTGGAGTTTAGGGAAGGCTCTTTGGCCTCGGCTAAATATCTTGAATTGTTTAACCGCATAATACTATTATCATCTTCTGTGTCATAACTGATTGCTATGTATTGGCTATAGATTTTCCCTTTAAAGTTGTATAGAAAGGTCAAAATTTGCTTTTCTAGGGTGGTCCTACCTTAAGATTCAAAACTGAAAGAGGTAAGGCAGCGAGGATGATGTTTGTCAATGATTTGCGCGAGTAGGATATCCAGATGTTTAGTGTTGATTTTAAAAGAATAATCATGCTTGGACATTTTTGTTCTCTGCTCAAGTACATTTTTTCTATTGATGGATCTTACTTTGAAAGAAAATTTGGTTTTGCAGTTGGAATGCTACCTATGATAGTCTGCTGGGAAGCAACAAGCCATTTCCCAAGCCTATTCCACTTGCTGTAAGTCCTCTTGACAAAAAAGCTTAAATGTATTGAATGCTTCTCATACTGTGCTTTATTTAACTTTCCCACTGTTATAAAAACATGTGCTTTGTTTAACTGTTATCCGCTCATACAAAACGGGCAGGAAATGGTAGATTTTCTTGTGGATGTTTGGGAGCAGGAAGGAATGTATGATTGAGATGTTGCAAACGATGGCTGCGCATAAATCAAAGGAGTAGGGCTTGTTAGGATGACTAAACTTGCTTTGGTTCGTGACGAAGAGGTTACTTGGTGGGGTGTTTTGTAAATGAGATGTAATATACTCGGTTTACATTTAAACGGAACTCTTGTGCTTGGAAAGTTGTCCACATTTGTAAAAATTGATGACTCTTCTGGTTTTGGCAGCGGATGTTTATTTCTTATGCTCTATTAATTCGATTAAGGGAAAAGAAGAGGAAATTCCACATTTAAGCCGACCTAATTTGTATTACAAGAAACTCTCGCAAAGTAATACTCTATTAATTTCATCGATCATGACGTGCTACCTTCCACCTATAGCATATGAAGTTTATCTTCAAAGTCTCTCCAAATTAAGCAACTTTAAATTCCGTGTGATCATCCTTTCAACCAGAGGGAATAATGATTTGATTTCTTTGTTTTATTTTCTTCTTTGTGTCTGACGAAAATGACTTGTAAAAGCTTTATTAGTTTAGTTTTATAACAGAAACCGAGCACGTATCATTTCCTGTTCCAAGCATCGGGCCAGCGACAACTCAGAGGCATTACTACTAAATGGTTATTCGTCAACCTTGTCTTCTATATTGGTTTGATTGTTCCTTCCGTCTTCAGATTTAAAATAGATGTGGAACAGTGATAAAGTTCGATAAATAATATCGAAATGCGTTTAAATTTCTGCGAAGTATATTGTTAACTTTCATAAAGTAAGTGCCCTATTACATTATGGTAAAATTAAAATAGCTTTACCTGTGATTGGTGAAGATGAGTTGGACACATTTTACTCAAAATTGAAGGATCCCAGTAATTAGTTTTTGATTGGTAACCTAGTGAGGTAGTGTAGCTTCAACTCGAGAATGGAAACTCTGAATGACTTAACATAACGAATAGAATCGTCAAGTTAAACTCCAAGATTTCTTGCAGTTAAGGACAGGAATATGTCTATGTGATGTCATATCAAATGCCACTTTAATACTTGGATTCGTGGAGGACAGCACCCTGAAGCAGCTAGCCTAAACAACAGTGAAAAGACAGTGGGTTCTGTTGGTGTACTCAATCTTGATCATATTTGTTAACAGGAAAAAAAAAGTTTCTTTTTACTAAGTGAATCTCAATTTTTCTAAGTTTGTTTATTGGGTTCTATGTTGTACTATCACTCAACGTGCAGAGTCGTTTCCAGAGTAAACTAAATAAGTGAGAGGCTTTCCTCTGCCTGTCCTAGTCCTTTAGGTGACAGTAACAAAAGTGTACCTAAAGCAATGGGCCAAGCAAATTGAAAGGCATATATATCTAAGTTACGAAGTTTTAAAAATGGGATAAATATTTGCTTAGCTTGATTTCCATTTTCCATTATCATCAATTTCATTTCTAAAGGCACATTGACAATTGTCGTTACCTCAAAAATAAGGAAAGCAAACCATTTGATTAATTGATTTGACTGATCAGAATGACCTGTTGAAAAACTTTACATTTTGATATTGGAACAATCAAGTTTGGACTTTGATGTAAGCAAAATTGTCAAACAGTCAACTGAGATGCGTTGTAACCTGCAGCAATTCCCAGATAGAGGCACAGAAAATTTCAGAGTTGAAGTTTCAATGTGAAATGTCAAGTGATTGGTGAAGAAGCTTTTGGTATCAGCCTATTGTCCCTTCTTCCGGAAACAGTAGTAAGCCTTTTCTATTCATAAATACCACTCACTGCTTGTAGTTCTTTGCTCATCCCCTGCACTGTATAGATCTTTAATAGAAAAAGTCCCGTCTTTCAATTCGTTCTTTGGCCTAAAACTTTGGGACAAAGCCATTAGCAAACTAATGGCTCTTTCAAATACATGCACGTTTTGTCTGAAGATTGTAGTAACATTGATTCTTTTACTGTCTCTTACATTTCAACCTTCTGAATCAGGTGAAGTCACAAGTTAACTTTTTGCTGAAATTTAATTCTTGTTTCAATTGTAGAGGAAAAAACTAACACAGATGATGAGAGATTTTTCATTTGTTTTTTTTTTCTCTTTGATTTAACTTTTGTATTTGTTTCAGTGGGAATGTCAAGGAAAATGGTGATGGGGTCAAAGCCACCAGATTGTGTAAACAAGTGCATGAATTGCCAGCCATGTAGGGCAACTCTAGCCATCCCACCTCGCCAGCAGAGGAGTACTGATGAAAAAGATGACAACTATTATCTTCTTTCATGGAAATGCAGTTGCAGAGATGAGCTTTTTTGACCAGGGGCGGAGCTAGAAGGTTACATATGGGTTCAACCGACAATAGCGAAGTCAGAAATTTCCCGTTTAAACTTGAAAGAAGTGAAAACAATTCTCGATAAAAAGTATTCAATATATGTTATATATTTTTAAAATCTAATACTTTACCTATATACACGGTATAATTTTTCAATTGACTACCCTTCTAACTATGTAGCTTTGCCTAATATGCAGTTTTAGTTCAAACACTGTATTTGTATTAAGAAATCTAGCTAAATATATGTACAAAAATTAAATTCAGCATCCAATTATTAATGTCTATGTCGCTATCATAGAATTTAAAAAGATCAGAAATAAATTAGAATGATAAGTTAAGTAGTGGAGGGGGGAACTACCAGCTTTTCAGTTTAGATTAATGTTCTATATCACTATCACTAGTATTATTATTCAACATTGCTCCAATATCAAAATAGAGTTAGCTATTATCACTGGAATATGCTTGATCAACTTTAGTGCACGGGGAGAGAGAGATAGGGGTTGAGGGGCTTATTTATTTAATTGTTTCTTCATAAAGGAACAAAAATAAAATAACAAAAAGATCTACATTTTTTGCTTTGTGACTGTGGGGTTTGTTTTAGAACAGAGAAAAAAGCTATTGTGCTTGCTGCTTAATCAAATTTCGAGCTGTTCTTGTAAAAGGTCAAACTTGAATCAGCTGTCTTTATTCTATCTAAATACTTTCATTTGCAAGAAATGTTGCTACTGAAGTTGACAAGCTGTACTAGTCCTCAAATCTGGTGCAGAGACTTCTATATATTATATAAAGTTCAAGTAAAATGCACTGGAGGCGACATAATAAATATTTATACAATCGTGTCATCTATAAATTAATTATAAGAAACTCCTTACGGTAAGCATTGTTGAGGTTTTGTTTTTAAGATGAAATAGTCTTAAAATTAGGGTGAATGGGAAATTGAGGGAAAATAAAATTTTGAGTAAAATTTTAAGTTTCCCCCTCTTGACAATGAGACATTGTCACATATATGAAGAGGAAAAGATTTTTGGTGGGTATATATATAATTGCTCTTCTTGTAGCTCTTAAAGAGTTAAGAAGAAAGCAAGCCTCGCGCCGTCNATTGTCCCATATTGGAAGAGGAAAAGATTTTTGGTGGGTATATATATAATTGCTCTTCTTGTAGCTCTTAAAGAGTTAAGAAGAAAGCAAGCCTCGCGCCGCCGTCGTCGCTCGGCTCGGCTTCGGCTTCGGCTTCGGCATTTTTTGGACACGATTGTTCTTCTTCAACACTGGCTGCTATATATATGTGCAGCAGTTGTTGAAGAAAGACACACAACACACAATACACAAGACACAAATCGCTCAACAGATTTGGCTATACATTGCACTCCTTCCTCTCAGCATTTCCATACGATTTTCTGAGTTTCTACTCCTTTGTTCTGCATTGTTTTAACTTCAAACAAAGCAACTGTAAGTGTGATTTGCTACCGAACTTTGTGTTCGCTGAAACACTGGGGTTTGAAGTACCGCTACACTAGTGTGTGATTCGTTCTATCCTGGGAGGAAATAATCCATTACCTTGGGTACTAGGAGGGGATTAAATTCCTTAAGGAAACACTGTGAATTCAGTGGGCTCGAATTAATTACTGTTTCATTACGTTAACTTATATTTTGCAGAATTATTATTTACAAATACAGCAATATTGGCGGGACTAACAAGCATAGTAACCGCTAACATGTAAAAATGGTAAGGAACCTACTACTCCAACCGTTTCAATTTATATGTTTTACTTTTCTTTTAGTCTGTCTCACTTTTCTTTTAGTCTGTCTCAAAAAGAATGTCTCTTCGTATATTTTGTAGTTCTTTAACTCCAACTTTTCACATAGTATATTTAAGACCACAAGATTTAAGAATATTTTAGTACATTAAATACATCTTTAGCTTAAGACCACAATATTTAAAACTCTTTTTGACTTTCTTAAATTACGTGCTCTATCAAACTAAAACACATAAATTGAAATAGAAGAACTAGTACATATTAAACTATATTAATAAAAAAAAGTCTTATGTTCTGTTGTTTCAGCATGCCTTAAGATATAAACTCTGAAATGCACTCTAGTGGTGGTTGGGAATTAATAAAAGAACTTCTGGATATTTTCTGCTTGAACCGAAATCTATCAATTTCATCAAGTTTGAACCTTGAATGCGAGACAATATTTGTTATGAAAGTGATTATGCTTGTTCTCACCTCATGTATTATTGCTTGTTATCTTATCATCAAAGTGAACTTATCTAGAAAGTATCTCAAAATAATTGAAGAAAGAAAAAGATCAGTTGGACAAATGCTTGGAATTTACGAGGGGGGGAAGCGTTCCCACTTACGGTGTTATCTCTCAGCTTCACTTTACAAGATTGGTGACTACTGCTGATTGCTGGAGAACTTCATATTATCAAAAGGGACCAACCAGGGGCGGAGCTAGAAGCCCGACCATGCTGAATTCAGTAGTTTTTGCTCAAATAATATATTTGTGATAGACTTTTTTTATTAAATATATAAAAATATTAAATATGAAACTCAATTATTAGCATTTAAATTCGTCTTTCTAAAATGCAGAACCTATAAAATTGAAATCTTGGTTCCACGTGACAGACCAACTATACTACTACTCAAGTAGAAAAGTGGGTGGCATAGTCTTATTGGTTAGGTCTGCGAAAATGAACTTGTACCACATTCTGTATTTTTTAGTTGTCAATTATCATTGTCTCTGTCTAATACACATGTTTTGTTATATTCAACATGGAAGAGGGAGTTCTTTCCCCTGCACTTTTGCGTTCGTGTCATTGGCGCATTAGAGGAGCCATCACGGGGCAAAGCACAATACTTTCGCCGCTTCGAACATGTGGCTGCAGCCTGCAGCTCTTCGCCAACAAATGAGTTGAACTTTATATATATATACACACAATATTTATTGACTTGAAATCTTAATGCTTATAGTTTTAAATGAAATGTTACGATCGAAGAATTGAGATATCATCAGTGTTCCACTTATCTTTTTATGAAGCATAATGAATTTTAGTACTGAGACGTTGGTCAAGATCTATGGATTTAAGTTACATATTGTGTATACATATAATTGTTACATTGTAAGTGCAATTTAACCATTTATGTTATCTCATTACTCTATCTTAAAGTGTGTGACCATCTCATATAAAAACTTAATTTATGGGTGTACATGGATCGGGTTGGTTCGGATTGTCTAATTACCAATCCAAACCAATTGTATTGGGTTATTAAATCTAAATATCAAACCAAACCAATAAAAGTCAGGTTTTTTAATCTCGATTTTTCTCGGATTTTCGGATTTTTCAGTTTTTTTTACATAAAGTCTTCATAGCACATAACGTAAAATTTGTACTCCAAATATTTCTTTAATCCTAGTAAGACAAAACTATATAAGGTGTTTTTCAATGGAATAACATAAATATGAGATGAGTCGTGGCATTGTACTAAAATATTCAATAATAAAGATAATAAAATCGCATAAAATAAATATTATTAATAAGCCATAATGAAAATAAACATAATTTAAAATTATGTCTAATAAGTACTATTATTTACATGACTAACCACTAAAAAAAATAAGATATACATTTTATCTAAATCATGAAAAAACTAAAAAATAGATATCCAACACTATTATTTTCATTCACAGTACAATTGAATGGAATGTCTTTTATTAGCATTAGTATTGAATTAGTTTTAGTTTAGGATTTATTTGAGTTACTAACATTTATGGACTATAAAGCTTATTGGAGCATCCAAAAAATATAAGCTCAAGCTTGAAATAATACGTTAAAAGATAAAACTATGAAAAAGTTTAAGAAATATTTATAAACTACACTACCATAAATATTTTTATGTATTAAATATATTTAAAACTTCTATACATATAATATCGGGTTGGTTTGGTTTCGATTTGACTTTTTTTAGTTAAAACCAAACCAAACCAAATATGGTCGGGTTTTTTTTCCAACACCAAACCATAGTCAGATTTTTTTTTTCGGTTTGACTCGGATTATCGGGTTGGTGCAATTTGTCGATTTCATTTGTAACACTTTTATAAACTTAATTATGTTTTTAACACGCCCCTCACGTGCGGGCTTGATTCTTTTTGATGAGCCAAGCATGTGAAAATTATTTTTGATATTGGGTGGCCGGTGAGACTCGAACCCAGAACCTCTATCTGCTCTAATACCATGTTAAAGTATGTGACCATCTCATCTAAAAACTTAAATTAGTAGAGATAACACAATTTTATTTATTTAATTATTTCTTCAACATTATTTTCAAATCATCCTATCAAGTCTGTTATAAGGAATCATTTATTATTGTAAGTAAATTTAATATAGTAGTGCACTGGTCCTTGCACAAAATTTAATATTACAGAGGTAAGCGTAAATGAGGATGCAATTGTTTGTGCCTTGTGCTAGTCGTTTTCACCCAACAAAAATCTTCGTGACTCCATTAAATGACTTATTGACTTGGCATAATTCATTCGTCAAGGTAAGGGGTGGGGTTGGGGGACAGCAGTGTTCCAAAATATCTTCCATGTATTGACACTCCTAAACTTGCTTTGAGTATTTACACTAATTAATCGTATTAATTTATTATGATTAGGTAATTTAATGAGGTAAAAATATATACTAATTAACTATAGTTGAGTGAAGAATATTTGTATTCAAACACATATAATATATTTATTAATTTGGTGCAAATATTTTATGCTCTTTTATTTCTATGGTACTACTCTCCTAAAAAAGAAATAGGTTGCTCACTTATAATTTGACGCTTGAAGAATCGCGAGACTGAATCTGTTCTACTGTTTGTTAAACAAAACTTGGTTATATGCAAGTTTTTTCAACTTCCTATACTACCTTACCACCAAGAAGAATAACAGTAATTATAGAAATACGAGGATTAATGCATTTTATTTTTCGTATAAGTTCAAATATTCACAGATAATTATTTTAGTATCTATAATAAAATTTCGATTTTAAAAATTATGTAAAATGTATTAGTATTAATTAATTATACTTCAGGGTTAAAGTATATAATTAATTAACCATACTCAATGAAAAATTAATCTAGCAC